GTTTAGGACGAGCTGCAATTGTGCACCTCTGAGTTCATAGAGGAAAAAATTGTGCCCACCACAGGGCACAGTCATGCTATACCTTGGATGGTCAAGTTGCTGACAACCCTGTATATTTTGGGTTGGGGCAGCTTCCAACCCACCTCTGGACTTATTGTTGGGATAAGTCAATCAACTGTGTCCAGGGTGTTTATGCAGGTCCTAGATGCCATTCTTGACCTGGTGCCCCAATTTATTCACTGGTCACAAAATGAAGACGAGTGGAATAATGTGAAGGTGTCTTTTTACCAGTGTGGACAAATACCACAAATCCTGGGGGCCATAGATGGCACACATGTGGCCATCAGAGCCCCCAGGAGAGATGATGTGGACTATTGGAACCGTAAGCTGTACCATTCCCTGAACATCCAAGTTGTCTGTGATTCCAGACAGCGTATCATGAGTCTTCAGAAGGGGTTTTCCAGGGTTGTGTCATCATGATTCCTTCATGCTTCAGCAGTTGGGTGCATACAAGAAGTTTGAGAGTTCCAAATGTCAGTATTGTGTTTGTGGCTACACATAAACTATAATTTTGCATGCATGTACCAAAGTTGACATAGGGCCAGGCCCCGCGGTTACGTGCCCACTGTGCTTGGCTGTCACAGCAATAACATGATCATAAAGCTAACCTTTGCATGCATACATCCAGCCCTTTCCCTGCCCCACTGAGGACTGTGCTGGGAGCACTCTCTCAGCTCAGCAAAACGTTGCCATAAGGCCACATAGATGTGGACTCTAGGCCTTAAAACAAATACAAGAGGATGCATAAATGCACCACATCAGCAGATAAAGGGGAAAAGAGATAAGTAAAGTCTGTTTATTACAACACTGACTTAATGCCCTACAGTGCTTTGACATTCACATTGTACAAAAGCTGGTCAGTGAAAATATAGAAAGGCAAAGGAAATTGATTGTGTCTAGGTAGAAACCAACCTTAGAAATAATGTACAGTTTGAACTTCGATACGGGATCACATTCCCTCAGTTCTCCGCTGCATAAGAGGAGAGAGAAAATAGATTACAATGATCTTCCCTGCGACTGGTTTAGCAGGGAAAGAGATGTGGGAGGTTTAATTGTTGGACACAGCTGGAAGCCAAAGCTTATGAAGCATTGTATGTGTACCCTGGTTAGCAACAGGATGATAGAGCAATCCGCTTCTGTGCCCTCAGCCTGTCTGCTTTTTCCACCCTAACTGTAGAGGCTGACTATAGCCAGCTACAAGCATGGTGTACAACAAGCTGTCAAGGCTTGGCACCCTCCACTCCAGCAGTGCATAATAGTAATTAAGATGTTATTCCCTTGTTACCACTGAGTTAGGGGATACATGAATAAGTCAATTTCCATGTCTGGCAATCCTGGTGTCAGAGATGAAAATTGTGTTGCATCTGGCCTGGTTTAGTGCCACAAATAGACACTCATATAAACATACTAGTGCAATTACTTGACCACATTTTTCTTTTTTCACAGGGGATGCCGGCTGTCCACAGCTGACGTGGCTGATGGCTCCAATCTGAGCCTGGCCGAACAGACTCATAATCGAGCTGTGGCACACAGCTGACTACTATCGGGCTCCTAAAATCCCATTTTGTGTGTTTGGCCAGACCTGGGGGTGAGTTACTATACTCTCCTCAGAAGTCTTCCAGGAACATCCTTGCCTGTTTCCTCCTACACAACATCTGCCTGGCGAGGAATGATTCCTGAGAGATGACTGAGGAGAGGGAGCCAGAGGTCCGTCAGCTGCGGGTCCCCAGAAGGCAGAATACCGAGGATGGGGTGGCCACTCAAACTGACCTGATCACCCGCTACTTTACATGTATGTATTCTAACATAGGTAGATATTAATTTTTTTGTACTTTAAATCAGTTGGGGCCTTGTTTTGGTCTTGGCCAATAGTTATCTTAAAAAAAGTACTATCTTGTCGGTCCCTAGAATTAGCTAGTATATCTGAGCTAGGACAATATTAATGTTAGTAACAGACTACAATATTAACAAGAATAATCAACACAAGATTCCACAAATCCAGGTCTTATTTATTGACAAAGAAAGTAACAGACTTTATGACATAGCATATAGAAATCAGAGAGCAAAGATTAGACATTAGACATTATGTAAGTTTGTCCTCTAAGTTAAAGCTGAGTTCCAGTTGAGTTTCCCAAAAAAAAACCATCAGCAGCTACAAAAACTGTAGCTGCTGACTTTTAAAATACAGACACTTACCTGTCCCATGATCTAACGAGGTCCTCACCACGGCTGTTTTCACCAGGCATCTTTTCTCCCTGGTGTAGGCATCCTCAGTGTGGGCACCCGGCTGGGACAGCTTGTGGCTTCCCAGCCAGGTGCCTACTGCACATACGCAAGTAGTGCTGCACTTTTGTGAATGGTCCCGTAGTCTTCTGGGACCTGTCACGTGTCCCTGAAAGGGAGGGAGGGGGGAGGACAACTTCTGCTTCCGATCGCCTTAGGCGATCACAACGGGAGTGGGAGCGGGTACCTGCATGGGACGGCCCCTGGTTAACAAGTGTTTATTCATTGTTAAGCATATATAAGAGAGGGACAGACATCTAGGTATTTAGGCTCTGAGGAAGAGGCTAGTCCTCAAAACGCATCAGCCATTTTGGATGTCCATCATTCTCATCACCATTCAGAAACGCAGTGCGAATCGGAGAGAGCGGTTTCATATGATGTGCTTATATTCATGTACTTTTGTGAGTAGAATGCCTTATTTTAAATTTAATAAACATATTTTTAAAGGTAATGCACAAGGCCAGTGCGCCCTCTGTTTTGTTTTTCTCTATTAGTACTTTTGGACTCCCCAGTTCTTTGAGGGCAGCAAGGCATGCATATTCCAAGACATTTGTTGTGTGATCCCTATGACATAGAGTCCATCCCTAAGCGCAGGAGTATTTGGGTTTTCCACTTCCACATCAAAATAATAAACATGTAAGACTTACCTGCTCTGTGCAGTAGTTTGCCACAGAGCAGGCCAGATCCTTCATTTCATTGCTCCCCCACCAGAATTCCTTTGCCTCTCTCTCCTGTCTAGTGCCCTCAGAACAAGCACCTTGAAGAACAAGCAAGAAGACTCACTCATGAGCCACTGATACCAGAGCTTTTCAAGCCCATCAGGGAATCAGGATGGAGCTCAAGCAGGGGTGGACTGACAATTTATGGGGCCCCCGAGCAATAAGAGATAATGGGGCCCCCCGTGTCTTCACCTACACTCAAGCCACACCCACACAACACCCTACCTACATATTGCAGCTCGGCTGCATAGAAAGGGCATTGAAAATAATTTTTAAAAATAGAACAAAATATGTTATTGGGTTCCCCTTCCATTCATACCAAGCCCTTCGGGTCTGGCATGGGTTTTGAGGGGAACCCCCATGCCCAAATTAAAAAAAAAAAGAGTGGGGGTCCCCCCCCCAAGATCCATACCAGACCCTTATCCAAGTATGCAGCCAGGCAGGTCAGGAAAGGGGGGGACAAGTGAGGGCCCCCCTCCGGAACCATACCAGGCCACATGCCCTCAACATGGGAGGGTGCTTTGGCGGGGTCCCCCCCAAAGCACCTTGTCCCCATGTTGATTGGGATAAGGGCCTCTTCTCCAAAACCCTTGTCTGTGGTTGTGGGGGTCTGCGGGAGGGGGTTTATCAGAATCTGGAAGCGCCCTTTAGCAAGGGGACCCCCAGATCCTAGCCCCCCCATGTGAATGAGTATGGGGTATATGGTACCGCTACTCATTCACAAAAAAATTGTAGCATGGAAAAAGACAGGAGACAGTCTTTGACAAGTCCTTTAGTAAAAGAAGGAAAATAAAAGAATGTCCCCCGAAGTAGATCCAACATCAATCACGATGCCTGCCGCCACTACCTAAAAATGAAAAGATAGAAAAGAAAAGGCTCCGCTCCTGACGCTGGCTCCCAGCCGTCTGACTGTTCCACTGGCTTGACAGATCTTACACTTGATGTCACTGGGTGGCCCCACCCCTTACATATTTAAAAACTGTCAAGCCAACGGGACAGTCAAACGGCCAGGAGCCAGCGTCGGTAGTGAAGCCTTTTTTTTTTTGGGTGGCAGCGGGCATCGTGATTAATGGATCTACTTCACTTTTTTTCACACTACCCTTCTTTTTGTGACTGGGTAGCGGTACCATGTACCCCATACTCATTCACATGGAAGGGTGGGTTCTGGGGGCCCCTTTGCTAAAGCGGCTTCCAGATTCCGATAAGCCCCCTCCTGCAGACCCCCACAACCACAGGTTGTGGGAAAGAGCCCCTTGTCCCCAACGACGTGAGTACAAGGTGCTTTCGGGGGGCCCCCATGCCACAAAGCACCCCCCCCATGTTGAGGGCATGTGGCCTGGTATGGTTCAGAAGGGGGGGCACTCGTCCCCCCCTTTCCTGACCTGCCAGGCTGCATACTCAGATGATAAATAATAAGGGTCTGGTATGGATTTTGTGGGGGACCCCCCACACCATTTTTTTGCATTTTGACTTGGGGGTTCCCCTCAAAATCCATACCAGACTCGAAGGGCTTTTTTTTTATTAATTTTTTAATTGCTGCCAATTCTTTCTTTTACATTCAGCTGTCAGTGGGGAACCTTTTAGTAGCGTTTTTTGTGAATTCAAACTTTAAAAAAAAAAAAAAATACTATGCGGTATCCTATACTAAGATACCGCTTAGTAAAGTGTGCCCAGTGAGCCTCTCACCGGGCTCCCTACTGATCCTGGGCCCTCGGGCAATGCCCAATGGTCAGTCCGCCCCTGGGCTCAAGTAAGCATCAGTGTGCCTGGGGCAGGGGGGACCTTGTGCCTTTCCAAACACTGTAATTTCTCCAAAAATGTTTGTACTTAACCACCTCCCACCCGCCATATAATAATATGACGAACGCAAGGTGGTTCTCTCGTTCTGGGAGGACGTCATATGACATCCTCCCATTCTAACCGCGCATGCGTGGCTCCCAGAGCGCGCAGTGCAGCGATCGGCGGTGCGCTGTGTCCCTCGGACACAGCAGATCACCGATCCACAGAAAGAGCCCAAGATGTCGGCTCGGTCATGTGATCAGCTGTGTCCAATCACAGCTGATCACATGTAAACAGGGAAATGCTGGTTATCGGCATTGCTCTCCTCTTGAGCTGTCACACTGACAGCTCGGGAGGAGAGGAGAGCCAGTAATCGGCATTCCACAGAGGGGACATGTACACTGATCATCAAAGCACTGATGATCAGTGTGCCCTGATGATCAGTGTAGCCCCAGCAGTGCCACCTGTCAGTGTCCATCATTGCCAGCTGTCAGTGCTCATCAGTGCCACGTGCCAGTGCCCATCAGTACCACACATCAGTGCCTACCAGTGCACAGCAATGCCACATCAGTGCCCATCTGAGCTGCCTTTCAGTGTCACCCATCAGCGCCAGTCAGTGCCACCTATCAGTGCTGCCAATCAGTGCTGCATATCAGTGCCAGTCAGTGCCACCTATCAGTGCCAGTCAGTGCTGCCTATCAGTGCCGCCTATCAGTGCTGCCTTTCAGTGCCCATCAGTGATGCCTGCCAATGCCCGCCAATGCCCATCAGTGCCACCTACCAGTGCCTCCTCATCAGTGCCCATCAGTGCCGCCTATCAGTGTCCATCAGTGCAGCCTATCAGTGCCCATCACTACAGCCTCATTAGCGCACATCAGTGAAGGAGAAAAATCACTTATAAGAAAAACTAAGGTTTTTTTTCAAACTTTTCAGTGGTTTTTTGTTTAAGAAAAAATAAAAAAACCAAGAGTTGATTAAATACCACTAAAATAAAGCTCTATCTGTCACAAAAAAATGATAAAAATTTCATATGGGTACAGTGTTGCATGACCGCGCAATTGTCATTTAAAGTGCAACAGCGCTGAAAGCTGCAAATTGGCCTGGGCAGGAAGGGGGTATAAGTGCCCTGTAGGCTTGTGGTTAAACTCCTGAAATGGTAAACAATGAAAAAGACACTCTAGCTAGCCTGCACTGAAAAGTGATTGTCATGATGAAATGTCAATGATTCTTAGCTCTCATTTTTCAGGAGTGGTCCTGCTTGCGGTTCAAGCTGGGAGAAAGCCACCTTCATGTCCTCCACTTGCCTTCATTTGTGGACAGTGGATATTTTGTAGCACCAGGCAAGAACTGACATCAAGGGCCTGCATAAACACCCTGGCATGCCAGAGGCAGTTTGGAAGCAGCACAGCAACTTGTCCATCGCTTTCCTCTATGCTGCTTTTGGGGGTGCATAATTGCTTCTCGTTCCTGAACGAACTTGCAGCGGATATTGGAGTCCCCAGCGGATACATGGAGGCCATGTATTTGCCTTTTTTTTTTCCAGATGTGGTTGAGCTGTGTACTGGCAAAGAGCGGAGCCTGGTTTTGGTTTTACAACCGATTGAGAGCTTGCAGGCATGTGTTCACATCAGGCCATGTATTTGCCTTTTTTTTGTGTCGAATAAAGACTATGTTGGTTCCTAAAAAAAGTGTCATATCCTCTTGATTCTATTTCCTAGACTTAAGATGGCCAGATAGTATGCAATCTGATGAAAACTCAGTGCAATTTCCTCCACATGTAGCTAAAGTCTGAAATAGGAGGAACAAAGCATTCATTTAGAATGGGCCAGGCCCATACAGTAAGTAATTGAGGTTTGCTATGAAGGAACATGTGGTTTGGGTCCAAATATTTCTGGCCATAACAACCTATTTACTAATGCAGCTCAACATAGATCAGGGATAAATAAAAGTGTACCTTGTCCATAGAATAGCCACTGGGAGGTCCTATCTGGGCACACAGAACTGGCCTATACATAATTTTGTACATTCTGGCAAATGAGAATTCAGAGTGCTTTATAATACTAAGGGGTTAATTCATGCTTGCTTCAGGGGAAACATTACTAATAATTGTATTTTCAATAGAAAACGTGTCCAATTCCTAGATGCATTGAGGTACATAGCAGAGGTTCAAGGTATTCCATAGAAGAAGTTATTGTTCTTCCTAACTATACAAGTGGCACAGACACAAGCATACACTAGTCAGCTCTTTTACTCTCTCTCCGCTTTCTAGTCAGTAGCCAAAATCTTAATTGATCAATATTCCTGGCACTGACAGAGCCCCGAACATTGACCTCCATATTTTGGGACTTCACAATAGTCTGTAACTTTAAGGAGCTTACAATCTAAAGGCACAAATTCATATACATACTAGGCCCAATTAACCTAACAGCATGTCTTGGGAGTGTTGGCAGAAAACACACCCAAATAGAGAAAGCATGCAAACTCCAGACAGGTGTTAGCTATGAGTGAGATTAGAACCCATGACTCAAGTGCTGTAAGCCATGAGTGCTAACCACTAAGCCACTATAACAGACAGAGTTTGAGCTGGAATGTACAATAGTAACATGATTAAAAAATGAATGAAGATATATAATTACATTGGGAAATTAGAAATAGACATTAAAATTATTTTGGATATAAATTTGAAAATGTTTTACATTCCAAAATAGTATGTATGACTTTGTAACATTCATTAGGAAGTGCATTAGTTGGGAGATCATTTTTGGAGAAAAAAAAGGCAAGAAAATTAATAGAGGCAACAATAATAGCAGTGCACACATATGAAATATAAAGAGCCATTAAAACAAGCACACCTGCGAATTTTTCTAATCCAGCATACCAATAAACACGAACAGGACAAAGCCCATGCTTGTGCGCCACTTAGGCACCATATCCAGCATTGCTCTTACAATCGCGTCTACTCTTAGATTTACAAAGAGAATTCAGTCTACCCATAGACTTTTTTCCGTTGAACACTTAAAGGTCTTGATTGATTTAATTGGGTGAGGCTGAATGTTCAGCGACTGCTGTTAGACGTTATTCTTAGTAAATCAGGGTCCAAATGTCATCTTATGCCAAGTCATTACTGTTAAAAACTTTTTATACTAAATTGTGTTATTACCAGTGTAAATCAATGTTATGCTATGCCTAGTTACCTACCATATTGGGTGAAAATATAGGGTGAAAATAGAGCCAACAGTATAGGGCATGGTCTGATAATGTGATACTACCTAGTCTGAGTGGGTGGCAATGTAAAGCTTACTGTGTTTGAGCAGGAAAAAAACAAGGACACAAGCCAGCAATAATCTTAAACATAGGGAAGTTCCACACCAGTGGCCATTCAGGGGTAAGAACACAGAACAAACAACCCAACAGAAAATCCCCAGGAAGAGGACAGAAACTGCTGCCTGCAAATCAAGCGAGACACCGATTCCGGATGCTGAAAGCTCAAGACATACTATTCGCCCTAGCTGAGTGTGCCAAAACAGGAAAAAGGGGCTAGCCTGATCCCTAATAGCAAAAAACTGAAAAACAGCTAGTCTAAGCCAACGCAAAATAGTAGATGAAGAAGCTGCCAACATAACACCGACTAGAGCTGACATAATTGTGCAGAAGTGATAGACACCAAAAGGTTACCTTTTGGGAAAGTCACCAGAGGGAAGACCTGAATGTCTAGAAAAGAAGGCCTTTGGAAAGCTGAGAGAACCAGGCCCAAGTTTCATAGCAGCATGGAAGAATGCAATAGAGGAGCTACATACAGTCATGGCCGAAATTGTTGGCACCCTTGATATTTTTCCTGAAAATCAAGTATTTCACACAAAAAAGGTATTGCATTAACACATGTTTTGCTATACACATGTTTATTCCCTTTGTATGTATTGGAACAAATATAAAACAGAGGCAGAAAAGCAAATATGACATAATGTCACACAAAACCCCAAAAATGGGCTGGACAAAAGTATTGGCACCCTTAACTTAATATTTGGTTGCACACCCTTTGGAAAACATAACTGAAATCTGTCGCTTCCTATAACCATCAATAAGCTTCTGACACCTCTCACACCCGGAATTTTGGACCACTCTTCCTTTGCAAACAGCTCCAGGTCTCTCTTATTGGAAGGACACCTTTTCCCAACAGCAATTTTAAGATCTCTCCACAGGTGTTCAATGGGATTTAGATCTGGGCTCATTGCTGGCCACTTCAGAACTCTCCAGCGCTTCTTTGCCATCCATTTCTGAGTGCTTTTTGACGTATGTTTGGGGTCATTGTCCTGCTGGAAGACCCAGGATCTTGGACGCAAACCCAGCTTTCTGACACTGGGCCCTACATGCGACCCAAAATCCTTTGGTAATCCTCAGATTTCATGATGCCTTGCACACAGTCAAGGCACCCAGTGCCAGAGGCAGCAAAACAACCCCAAAACATCATTGAACCTCCACCATATTTTACCGTAGGTACTGTGTTTTGTTCTTTGTAGGCCTCATTCCGTTTTCGGTAAACAGTAGAATGATGTGCTTTACCGAAAAGCTCTATCTTGGTCTCATCTGTCCACAAGACGTTTTCCCAGAAGGCTTTTGGCTTACTCAAGTACATTTTGGCAAACTGTAGTCTTGCTTTTTTATGTCTCTGTGTCAGCAGTGGGGTCCTCCTGGGTCTCCTGCCATAGCGTTTCATTTCATTTAAATGTCGACGGATAGTTCGCGCTGACACTGATGCTCCCTGAGCCTGCAGGACAGCTTGAATGTCTTTGGAACATGTTTGGGGCTGCTTATCCACCATCCGGACTATTCTGCGTTGCAATCTTTCATCAATTTTCCTCATCCGTCCACGACCAGGGAGATTAGCTACAGTGCCATGGGTTGCAAACTTCTTGATAATGTTGCGCACTGTGGACAAAGGCAAATCTAGTTCTCTGGAGATGGACTTGTAACCTTGAGATTGTTGATATTTTGCCACAATTTTGGTTCTCAGGTCCTCAGACAGTTCTCGTCTCCTCTTTCTGTTGTCCATGCTTAGTGTGGCACAGACAGACACACAATGCAAAGGTTAAGTGAACGTCTCTCCTTTTTATCTGCTTTCAGGTGTGATTTCTATATTGCCCACACCTGTTACTTGCCCCAGGTGAGTTTACAGGAGCATCACATGCTTGTAACATTCTTATTTATCCGCAGTTGTGAAAGGGTGCCAATACTTTTGTCCAGCCCATTTTTGGAGGTTTGTGTGACATTATGTCGAATTTGCTTTCTTTCCTCCCTTTTTTTGTTTTTGTCCCAATACACACAAAGGGAATAAACATGTGTATAGCAAAACATGTGTTAATGCAATACGTTTCGTGAGAAATACATGATTTCCTGGAGAAATATCAAGGGTGCCAACAATTTCGGCCATGACTGTATCAAACTCCAGAATGAAGTTATGAATCAAGCAGTGCACATCCAGTAGACGCTGAAAAAAAACTGCAACCTGACATTCAATGCCACTCAAAGCAAGACGCAGATCAATGCTGGAAAAGGCCAAAAACCAAGACATGTATCAAGAAGCGCATAAAAAATTCTGGTGCCTCATAAATAGACATGCAGGAGCAGATCCTCCATTGTCAAAGAAGGTCCAAAAGGCTCCTTGATGGCAGAGGCCACTATGCGAATAGAGGC